CAGGAATCCTGCCCGGCCAGTCGAGCTAGCTGCAACAGCATCTCCAACAATGCCACCGTTTCTATACAGATCAGGGCTTTTTAAAAGTATTTTTCAACCCCTGCTTAATTGCAGATACCCAAGTTTGCCAGGCAAGAAAGCAAATGCCACTTACTTTGCAGAAACTCAACAACGGGTGAGCGGGCAGAGCAGGGAGCCGATCATGCTCTCTTCCTCACCAGCCAACCTGGAGAATTTAGCTTCTTTTATCCCGCAGAGTTATTCCCAGTTAGGGGCTCACGAACGTTTCAAACATCTCGAGCCGAGCTCTCCCGCTCCTCTAGCTCCTTCCACGCAGACAGCTCGGCGCAGACAGCACGCAGCGCAGCTCGCTTCCTGGCCCGCAGCGGCGGTGGCTTCCCCCAACGGCAGGCTGGGTTTCTCCCCGCCTCGGCGGCAGACGGGCTCTGCAGCACCCAGCACCCGAGAGCACCCTCTGCCGCGCTCCGCTCCCCACCCAGCCGGTTTTAGTGCCAGCTCTCTACCCGCAGGTGAATATGAGGAAAGAACGGGTCACCACACGTCATCATTACCCTGCAAATGAGCAACGCCTTACAAGGACAGAGGGAAAAAATAAAACCCAACTTTATTCACCAGGGACGGGAACAGTCTGGGGTGGGAGGCAGCAGCGATCCACATAGGAGTCTGACAAGTAAGGCTGTGGAAATCCCAAGGAAGGTCAAAATACGACTGAGCCAAGACATGGGGCTAATACACCGAATTCTTAGAGACCCTGATGGCAAATAGTCTGAGCACAAAGCAAGCCCAAGAAGTTTCTCTGCCCAGCCCAGCTCAGCAGCCACGGGCCACTTCAGCAAGCACCCACGCTGCGCCGGGCACATTAATCCTTGTCACCACTCCACACTTGAGTGCGGGAAACAAGCAGTCACTTGTGAGGGAAGGGCACTGAGCAACTACTGTTAAACCCTTGAGATCAGCCCAGCGTGTGGAGAAGGCGAACTCAGAGCAGTAACGACAGCGCGGGCAATTTAGTTCGGAACCGACGGATGCTGAAGTGCTCGAGGCCGCCCACGCCACCACTCACGTCCCCACGGTGCCCATCGCGGCAGGATCCCAGCGCTGTCCAGGAGAGGACAGTCACTGGAAGAGGTCTCCTGCAGACACCCATCTTGCTCACTTGTGCTGCTGCTCTGTGTTTTCCGAGGTGTCTGCAGCGATGCTAAATCCCACGCGACTGAACAACTCTGCCCGTAGCTCCTTCAGCCGTAGGTTTTCTGCTTAGTTTGGCAGCCTGACCCTACCAGCAGGTGCAGCCCTGCCCAGGCCGACAGCTTTAGCAGTTTCTTAGGAACAGATTAAAAAAGGTGGTGCTAAAGGAGCAAAACTCTTCATTAAAAAATGACTCGCAGAACCAAAGGAAATCGATTTCTTAAATTAAGAAAACAAAATATGTCCTTAAGATACTGGCATGAAATTGCAAACAATTTTTTTTTTTTTTAAAAAAGGCAATTACAATGCACAAGTCCCACCAGAACCGGAGTCTGACGAAACCACCATCCCCTCTGGGGCAAGGACTGGCTGCTGCCAGCACAGCAGATCACCTAGGGGAGAAGACATCCTTCCCGTCCGGAGACCGCCCGGGCTGCAGGCGAGGGCACTCGGCCCCCACACCCGCTTCCAGCGCAGCCCGAAGCTCTCCCGCAGCAGGGCTGCACACACAGACCCCCTGACCTCTGCGCCCAGCCCGACCTGCATCTGGGTCCTGAGGTGTTTTAACAAAAGGACCTCTGTTCAGCGAGCCACCTAGGACAGAAAAACTCCAGCAATGATGGCAAAAATCACAAGGTTCCCTGTGGGGTTGTTCCTAGCTAGGAGGTTTGAGAATCCTTTGCTCTGCTGTCTTCTTCCCCCAGCTTTGGCACTCGACTTGTAGAACCACGCAGCTTTCCATGCCAAGTCCATGAGTTGGGCTATAGCATGTCCTAGGGATACTCTTACAGTCAAACTGATGAAATCTGATGCTTGAGGCCACCAGCACCCCACTCTGAGCTGCCAGTTTTCTGTCTGTTCGTTACACTACGCTACAAGGAACTGCTCCCAAACCCACCGAGCCCTCAGACAAACCCCACAGCACAAACCAGCAGGCAGAGAGCAGCTGGAGCAATCTGCCTTTGTTGTTTTCACCCAGCACAAGCCTCTTCTGCTACGCCGGAATGTGCTCGGGACCCTGCCTCCGCTTCTGCTTGTCAGTTGGCAGCCAAACACAAGCCACGGTTGATGGCAGGATGTGGGGCTTTCAAAGCCCCTCCTCGGCTGGTTCGTAGCCAGCGGCGCTACCACCCGAGTAGCTACAGACCCTGGGTGGAGGTGCTACCGCAGCGATAACAGAGGAAAGAAGTGTGCAAGAGGGCAGAGAACCGTATTTCTTGTAGCTGGTCCTTGTACCAGGCTCAGGCTCACAGAATGCTTTCAGGGCTGGAAGGGTGTGTGCTCCTCCCGCTCCCAGCAGCATCTGGTTTCAGAAACTGCTGCTTTTCAGCCCAGTTCGCAGGCTGGGCAGCCTGAGGCCTGCAGGAACAGGATGGCTCTCCCAGGCTCCGAGGCCACGAGCACCGGGGCTGGCTAGCAGGACAGTCACTGCAGTCAAACGCCTTCCTCAGAGACTAGAACTCAGTCATCTTCTTATGTGTTTCTGCTTTCTTCTGCTCCCGCTGCAGACTGGCTTCCTGGGCTTTCAGCTGCCCCAGCTGTTTGTGTGCGTTAGCCAGCTTCTCCTCCAGCTGAGCTGTAGCAACGCTGTGCCTGAAAGCAGAAAGCATTACGGCAACGTCATCCTGCACGGTGAGATCAAAGGCCTGTCACTATCCCAGGAGGGTCTGCCCTTTCCTGCGGGATTAGCGCAAGGGACCTGCTGGAAGCCAGGAAGAACCCGATGCTCAGTGCAATCTGGGCTAGAAAATGTCCTCCTGTGATGCTCAGCAGCCACATCGCAGAGATGGGCATGAGAAGCAGAGGGCTTCAGCACCCGTCCTCAGCAAGCTCCTCTCTTCACCATAGCCCGAGTTCCAGCCAAAGGACCCCAGCCAAACCTGCCAGTGTCCACGCCGGTCTGAAGCACACGCTGAATCTCTCTCCTCCACCCCCCCTTCGGCCTCATCCAGACATGGTTCACTTGTTCCTCCCACACCTCATTTCAAGCCCACCCCTTGCCAGAAGCACCAGCAATTCTCAGTTCATCCCGCAGTCCCCAAGAGGATGCTTTCCTACCGCCCAATGTTGCGTTCCAGGGCCTGCTGGATTCCTATGATATCCTTCTGCGTTTGTTCAATCTTCTCCATCGTCTGGAAGAGGCGGACACTCAAGGCCTTCTTGGTGCTCTTGCTAGCATGGTAGATCTCTTTGCTGTTCCTCTGCGGCAGTGCCACCCCTCCAGCCTTCTCCCCAGTGCTCTTCCCTCGCAGTTTCTCATTCAAAAAGTCAAACACGTTGTGGTGAGGCTTACGGCTGCCCGCGCGGGACTGCCCCGAGCCGTTTCCCTTTGCTCGGCACTTCCTCGATTTGCCTGGGTCCAACTTCCCCTGTTTCTTCTTCTGAAGCACCTCAGCACACTGGTCGAGGGACTTCCCCCGAGGAAGTACCACAGCCTGCACTGGCTCCACTCGGCCCTCAGAATTCTTCCCTAACCCTGAGGAGAGACACCAAGCGATTACTGCGAGCGAGGACACCCCCTCTCCGAGTCACCTCCCACCACCAGCTCACGCTGACAGCCACAACCTGAGAACAGGCAAACAGGCTCTTGAGGTACAAAAAGCCACGACCGCCATCCGAGTCGAGGGGAGCAGCAAAGGCCGCAGCACGGTGGATGTGGATGCTACATCAGGAGCCTTCTACAGCAGAAGATACGCGATCAAAAGCCCGAGGCCGTTCATCAGGCCGGTTTCTGTGAAACTACGTTCAGCCTCACATTCTCAGCTTCTCAAGCCAGGTTCTTCTTGAAACTGGTTTGGAGAACCAGAGACAAACGCAACTGGCAGACCAGGCTCCTAACGCCCCGAAGGCTCAATACAATTTGTGTAGTGAGAAGCTAGCTCAGCAGGCTTTGAAGTCTGCGTCTAGAGCCGGGAGATGCTTTAACGCAGACATCAGAAGCTCCATAGATCAGTTCCCTTCCACCTTTGAACATCTCACACTACAGTTCTCACGGCTTTCATCATGAACTTGACCACGGTTCCAAACACCTCCAATTTTCGCTGTTACCGTACAGGGGTTGGTGCACAGATATGCTTGTGCTTCGATTAAGCAGCTATTCCTTTCCTTCTCTCCTTCTAACCCTTCCACACGGGTGTGATTCATCACATAGCTTGAGCCTTATCTAACAGGCCCTTCAGCAAAGCAAAGTTATAGCTTCATCAAAAAAAACCTTGTTTTTCTTAACTAGCTTTAGGATCTATCACGAGACCGAGGTGACGAGGCAGCCATGCCCTCATGCCACCAGGACCGCCTTCTCCCCTTACCTTTTCCGAACTCGTATCCCATCCGAACGAGCAGTTTGGAGCCGATACCACGAGTATGGGCTTCCCAGCCACCGAAAGAGGAACTGCACGCAGGAGTCCATTCCCCGTTCTCTGGAACTCCCGAATCTATCACTGTGGCACGGAATAGACAAATCAGTGAAACACAGAAACAAAGCTGCTACAGAAAACCCTTATCCGGGGCACCCACACAGCATGAAACCCCCTCACAAGGCAGTAAAATACACACTTCCCTCACCCTGGAATCACTCAGCAGCTCCTTGTGACTTCGCTGGTTCCTACTGAGCTGTCACCTTTTATGGACACTGCATAGCGAGTTACTGAAATGAAAGCTCTCACTTGATTTAATGCACGTACCAACTCGTTATTCCAGGCAGAATCATCCAGAAGTTTCCATGCCTCCTTTCCTTCCTTCTACGGCGGTCATACAGACTGATATATGCCATCAGAGTAAAACCCGGCACTGGGGCACGTAGCATTTATTCTGTGCCTCCAGCTCATGTCTGTGGTATGAGGCTCCTCTAGGCCACTATATTAATTTTGTGTTATTAGGATTCGATAATCTCTATTAGGCTAAATTAAAGAGCTCTAGGACACAACTTTGTCCCTGCGACGTCACTGTGGCACTAGCACAGGGACAGCGCTGTCTGTGTAATCTCAGAGAAGTCACTCGGGCTCTCTCTGTGTCAGCTTTCAGTAGTAAAGCAGGACACAGCTGCTCCTGCAACCTCATGGAGGCACTGGAAGGACCAAACGCAGTTACTGGGGTCTCGCACTCTCCTGTCGTGAAGCTGTGCACAGCTCCCAGAGATGAGGAAGTCTCCCCACTCACCTCTTAGCTCAACTCAGCCAGCCACGTAAGAAACATGCTCAGAGCTTGGAATAAAATATCACACCCTCTACCTTCCTGTGTTGGGAGTTCCCATGGAAACCTCCAACCTTCATTAGCCCGGTAATTTGCATAAAACAAAGATTTTAGTTTGAAATTGCAACATAATAGCTAATTACCATCCTCTATCTTTCAGCAACACATAGAGAGATTAGCTACGCTTTCATCAGAGGTGAGACACCCGTAAGGAAGGCTCCAGCAGAGTAATCCCGCAGCTCCCAGCAGAAGGCGGACCTGGATCACACGTTGCTTTCGCTCACACCGTCCCCGCTCCCTCCCTCACCTTTGGCGTAACCGGAGTCATCCACACTGTCTTCATCGGACGCGGCAGATTCGGCACCGTCTTCGCGTCGCAGCGGGGGAATGACACTATCTCCCTCCACAACAGCTTCCTTGAGCAGCAGGGAATCAAATTTCACAGTGTAGTAACCACTGTCGATGTCTACAAGCAGGAAAAGCAAGGAACAAGAGTTCCAGTAAGTCTCCAGTGTGGAACTGGCAGAGGGCTTTCTAAAACAGACGGAGCTCCAGTGGGACGGCATGGGAGAGGGGGTAGGTCCAAGAAACACGCGTTTTAAAAAAATTCTGTTTTTTCTTTCCACTTTAGATTTCTGCCTGGGAGAGAAAAGCACCCACTGCAATGAAAAGCTATTTTCACAATGCCTGTGTTGGTGACCCTGCTTCGGCAGGAGGGTTGGACTAGATGACCCACAGAGGTCTGTTCCAACCCCTACTATTCTGTGATTCTGTGATTTCAAACAGTGTGGAAAGCCTGCTGAGAACTGGAATTAAAGACAAGTTGGACTTGCTCCCCTCTGACCTAATAACAGCACAGGAAAGATGGAAAGGGAGACTAAACCCTCACCCTCCCCAGGACACGGGGAAGCCTGTACCAGCAGCTGACGGGCAGGGCCAGGTCCTCCGGCTCTTGTTTAAACCAGAGCAGATTACTGCAGTTCTCACCTACTATGCATGCAAATCCCTGCACTACCTGCCTCTTCCCTTTCACGGCAGTTAATGTAGTCATTTCCTTTCCACACTCCTGCTCTTATGTCTCCTTTTTGTCTAACACTCCCCTGTTTCCTAGCCTATTCCCTTCCCAATTCAGGATATTTTCTCAGCTATGTCAAGATTTTCAATTTAGGGATGCAGCCACATAGCTAACATTTTTCTGTCGTTAACCAAAATAGTCGAGTTTCACGTTCAGTGAAGCATCAGCCTCCACCTTCCACACAGAATCCCGGCGAAGCACGCTCACACACGACTCACCGGTGATTTTTGCAGTGTACCATATTCCGTCGCTGTGTTTCGCCAGGCAGGCCGAGCCCACCGCCAGCGCGCTCAGATCGGGCTCCTGAAACGGCTGAAGCTCTTCCACGGAGACCACCTGACCGTGCGAGAACCTGCGGGGGGAGGCGAAGAGGGATTATCTCTACCTTGTTTGAGCAGGCCTTAAATAAAAACTCCTTCTCTCCTTAAAGGAAACGCAAACAAGTTGTCAGCGGTGATGAATCTTCACCAGTAATTATGGAAGTTTTATCGTGCATTATTTCGATTACGCAAGCTATTCATTTTTCACCTTAAACCTATTATCTGTGTAACAAAGAACGCACCCCAACCCAGAGCATTAAGCTTTCCTTGCTAGTGACACATCCAGTAAAAAAGTTCACAGGTCCTTTGAGATAAACAGGATCGCAGAGACAGCGGGTGTCTCGTCCAGCCTCCTGCTCGAAGCACAACCAACTTCAAAGGCCGATCAGGTTGCTCAAGGCTTTATCTCGTTAAGCTCTGAAGATCTCCAAAGACGGACACTCTACAACCTCTCCGTGCAACTGGAACATATGCACTGCTGACAGAGAAGTTTTGGTAGTTTATTTTTAAATACTTTATCAGTTGTTAATTTAGCCACTTCATTATGTAAAACCTCTGCAACTTTCCCCATGGGATCTTCCATTTAATCTCTGCATTAGCTAAAGAAAACAGACAAACTGATGCCACTGCTTACCATAACACCCTTTAAAAACATGAACCAAAAAGCAACTTTCCATTGGGTATAAGAGCCAAACACGGTACTTCCAGAGGAGGTTTGCCCCTCAGAAGGACAAGGCCTTTAGCTACAGGAAGGACACAAGCCCCCTCCCACCCGTTTTTTACCGACAGTTCTCTTTGAATCTGCACTTGTCATCCAAGAAGAATGGGCACGGCTTCAGAGACTTGTGAGTTGGATAGAGATACAGCACTCTGACGCCTGCACTGCCGTCCTCCAAGTCCTCTGTCCCCACAATCATGGCATTATGGTACTCCAGGGTCCCCCAAGAACTGTAGTAGGGGGCTTTAACCTTCATCCCACTCAATTCCTCCTCCTCTTCTCTGTCAGACTCCTCCTCTTCACTATACTTTGGTTCATTTTTGTCAGCAGTTTCTTCATCTCCCTTTGATGATATCTCATCGTTATTCACTGAAGGTCTCTCATCAGTTCCAAGCTCAGCGATAGCTTCCTTAAAAGCCGCATACTCCTCGTCTTGGGCAGCACCGTCTCGGTTGACATCCCGCTCCAGACCTACTGGGGACGTGGAGGAGGAGGCGCCTGTGTCTAAAGTAGCCAGAAGTTTGCTCTTTTTAACAGCCACCAGGCTGGATTCAGTCAGTTCTATCAGCTGCTTTAAATCTTCCTGCAACTGAATCAAGTCCGACTGCTGCGATGGGTCCAGGCCTGCCCCTAAAGCCAGCTCCACTTGCTGCAGCTGGGCATTGTAGGTCTGAATGGCTGCTTCCAGGCTCTCTTCATCCATCGTCGGCAAACCCAAGGGGAGTTTAACTGCGTCCTTTCTGGGAACTCTGACCACATTCAAAGCCTTTACTTAAGATGAGCAACTTTTCGGACAACGAGCCCTTGTCCGCAGAAGCTACCATCTACCCCGGCGTCCCGCGTCTTCCCTCGGAAGCAACCAGGGCGATGCTCCTGCAGCGAACAGGCGGCGGAAGGCGACCAGAGGAGGGTCCGAGGAGAGGCCAGGCCCTGCCCTCCCCCGCCACGGCGCCCGCTCGAGCCCACCAGGCCCCCGCACGGCACCCCAACAACCGCTCCCTT